ACCCCCCCCCCCCCCCCGCCCCACATAAATATTATATAAATTATCACCGAATCACAAAGCACGGAACAAAAAATAATGCTCAACGATGCTGCTATAAATCTATTTGAATATAATATTCTTCATTAATAGAAATGTCATTCCAACACAGATATAAGGTAATTGTTGTTTTATTTATTGTTTCCATTACCCGAGTTATTTGAAGCAACATTATACAATGAAATGATATTATTCATAAATTGATAATGATCAACTATAAAATAGACTCGAAGAGTTAAAAAAAAAAAAAAAAAATTATTAAATGCTGAAAACTGTGATAATTTGTTTACTTTGCAACTGCAGGGCTAGCAAAAATAGACGGTATTCTCTACTGAAATTTTGATAAATCAAAGTTTATGCTTTATTTTTGCAAATTACGATAAAAATGTTACGTTAATCTTTTGAAAACATCGTTTATAAAAGATGTAAATTTGTATTTGACGACTCGCCGATTGAAATAGCTATGGCATCGCTGCAGGGATGTTATGCTTTTAATTTCAATAGAATGAGTAAGGAATGCCGTTTTAATTAAAAGCAACGAAATACCGTCGTACTTGGATAGCCGTAAAATATCGGAAAATTTATCGTAAAATATCGACGATAATAATAATAATAATTAATTATGATGATGATGATGATGATGATGATGATGATGATGATGATGATGATGATGATGATGATGATGATGATGATGATGATGATGATGATGATGATGATGATGATGATGATGATGATGACGACGACGACGACGATGATGACAACAACATTAATAATAGTAGTAATAATAACAACAAAAACAATAACGGGGTTATGATTTTTTTTGCTAAACATTGACCAGCTAATAAAATACGTAATTTCTATTATCTAACGAAGCTACACGAGTTTTTCGTTTTTTAGGCGAAAATGAAGATGTGCATCGAGTCTCGACATGAATCTACTATTATAATTTGCAATTAGGAAGGACGTGATTTTTCGTTCTAATTTTAAACGCGTAAAAATAACGATAAAATGGATTTATCGCTCCAAAAAAAAGAAAAAAAAGAGAGAGAGAGAGAGAGAGAGAGAGAGAGAGAAGAGAGAGAAGAGAGAAAAAAAAAGAGCGACATCTCGTATCTCTCGGCTTTATTCATCTCGGATGTGTATGGCTTTTATCAATAAGACCTCTGCGCCCCCGTCGTAGCGGCTTTAGCCGGGCGCGCAGATACAATCGAAAAGGGAATTTTTATATGGTCTAAGGGGAATGGGAAAAGAAAGCAAAAAGATAAAAATTTCTCGGGTATCGAAATTCGATCGAAAATCGAAACCTCCACTGCGTGCAACTCCTTCTCTCCCACGCTGTGTATATAAAATCTCGTTACGATATACCTCGTCGCCAGCCCGACGCAGTCTCAAACTAACCGAAGGAGTGAGTGTGTGAGTGAGTGATACAGCCGGCGGGTGGTTTTTGACGGGATAGAGGGAGGAGGAGAAGGAGGATGGAATTGAGGGGGAGGGGGAGGGGGGGGAGCGTGTCAGGGATACGCAAGCGGAGAGGGTACCCGTAGGTACGAAAAACCGATGGAGAGCGCAGGAGATTCCGTTGTAGGCTTTGTCCTTTCTACGCGACTCATACAGTGAGAAATGAAAGCAAGGCATCGTCGTAGGATCAAAAGTGTCGGCGTGTACACGTGGCATACAGTAGTTGAGGGGATGGCGATGGGGGTGGGGCGAGAAGGATAGGAAGAGAAGCGAGGAGTCGCGACTTGAAAATACTGGGCTTGGACGGTGCGGAGCTCCTCGTTGTCGACAAAAGGGAGACGACAAAAGGCTGAAAAAGCCCCCGAGTGCCTCGACGCCGGTGCGCCCGCAAAGTCCTATCTCAGCTTGTAATGACTCGGTCAGCCGGATAAAGCGACGTCGCGTCCTCGTCGAAAATAGAACCGATGGCGCGCGTACCCGAGTGCGGCGTCCGACGAACGATGATCGATCGAGGGGCCGACGCCGACCCGGGCCTACCGACAGGAAGCCCCGATAGCAGCGGAGGCACGCCCCGGAGAGCCGACGATGTCGCCGCCGCCGCCTTAAATAGAATATTACTTTTAAATATAGGCGGCCCCCGGCTGATCTCTCGGGGGCAGGACCTCGCGCCAATGAACTCGCGCGCGTATTTTCGGCCGATCCTCGTCCTCGTCGCCGCGGTCCGATTATCCGCGAGCGGACGACGATGCGACAATCGAGCCGATCGGCCAATTCCTATTAGCTCCTGACTGCCATTTTCAATTTTTGTTGCGCTCACGAGGTGGAGGATGGGAAAGAGCCGCGTGATTCATAGTCACTAATGCAGCTTACCGAGTTTTGATTTATTAGGGGAATTTGAGACAAGCGGGCCCCGTATGTGTCATAGCGTATACCATCCATCCCACCACCCCCTCCCCACTCTCTCTCTCTCTCTCTCTCTCTCTCTCTATATATATATATATATATAGAGTGTATATGTAGTTTATCATTATATTATTTGATATAATATAATATATGTATATAGAATATGTGTGTGTGTGTGTGTGTGTGTGTGTGCGCGCGCGCGCGTGTGTGTGTGGCTTTTGCGACGTATTCCACGATATTTTGAACGTTCGTTAATTCTCTCGGGGCCTTAAGCGGATACTGTTAGACGTTTACGTGTATTGGCCCCGACTGAGGTGTCGTCATTCCATTCAAGGGGCAAAGGATTTGCATATCGGAATGATAATTGACGAGTCGAGGTATTTTTGAAAATATCGGTTAAAAGTTAGCTGCCGGCCAGGCGTTTCCTTTGGAATCCTGGCAAATTCCTTCCATCAATGCTCGAACGACCATGAGATCTAGTGCCCGAAAGGAAAATTGGCCAGTCTAACGACGACCTGCGATACGACAATTTTTAATTTGGAGAATAAATTTCCATTTAGCCTATCAGCTTATACACAATTTAAACTCGTGTTAACGACGCAATTCGACTTTTAATTCCCTCTCCCCGTTTACCAATTTCCATTTAATAAACAAAAACGCACCGGCAATGTTTATAATGCCAAATGACGTAATAATGAAAAATAACGTCTAATCGACAAAGGGCCCTTTTTTACATTTGCAATTCCATCGAGTCACGGCTGCTCATTACGGCTGGCAATTCGATATAACGAGAAAGCTTTAGAGCAACGCTCAACCGATATTCAATTAAAAAACATTGTAGTATCACATTGTTCGTCGTAATAACGAGCTTGATCGTTATTGATCAAGCTGGCCGACCGATTTCGACCGATTTACCGCCCATCACTTAATAATAGTTCAAACTAATTTTCATGGTCATCACCCCCCCCCCCCGCGCATAAAACCCCGGCCCCCCCTATTCGCCACTCTATTCGTCAGGGATCGCGCGAATCATCTGCGGATCGAGGAGATGTCCGATTGCGGCACTTTGTCGTGCGCTCGCTTTGTCAGGGGAGCCAATGTTGGGAAATCGGCGAGGTTCGCGCGATGGGACGAGTCACGGATATTGTGACACGCAGCACGACAAGGAAGCTCGACCGGCA